TTACACCTGTCAACTGGGACATCTAAGTAGACTTTGGATGGCTGTTCTTCCAATGTGTTGTCCAAGAGATTCATGCATTAAATGAGGAATCAGACAACTTGACATCAACGGTCTTCTCACCCATTGTTAATGAGCTTACTGTCTCCAGAGTCCCAGTCTGCAGTTTGTATATACTTTATATGCTTACTTAATTACTCCTAAGCATGCTTTTTTATCATCATAACTACTATTTGATGGAAATAAGGTAAATCAATTTTGTAGATTAGGCAATAAGCACAGAGAGGTTAAGAACTTGCCCTGATCATGCAAAAACCCTTAGTGGAACCAGAACTATAACTCAGGTCTCTTAATTCCTAAGTCAGCCTTTTTGTTTTTTCCCTGATACATGGTACTTCTTTATCATTTAATCAGTTTATAGCTTTCATTCATGTTTTTTATTTTCTAGGGTTAATTAGATTGTGAAGGATTTTAACATTCCTGGCACCTTTCCTGAGGATCATTTTCACTTTTGGGCAAGAGAAAGATTTGAATCTACCAAGTATCTCTTAAAGAATCCCTTTGTGTGAGTTATCTATATAGATGTTTTCATGAAGAGGAGTGAAAAGCCAGAAGGATATAGGCACATGAGGCCTAAGACCTTTCCTACCAGTAGTTATATTGGCAACAGTCGGCAAATGTTGCAAGAAATTCGGGAATCCCTTCGGAATTTATCCAAGCCATCTGATGCTGCTAAGGCTGAGCATAACATGAGTAAAATGTCAGCGGAAGATCCTCGACAAGTCAGAAATCCACCTAAATTTGGGACACATCATAAAGCCTTGCAGGAAATTCGAAACTCTCTGCTACCATTTGCTAATGAAACAAGTTCTTCCTCCCGGAGTACGTCAGAAGTTAATCCACAAATGTTCCATGATTTGCAAGCTGCTGGATTTGATGAGGTAAGAGCTTTTAAAGACAAAAGAAAGGATTCTTCTTACTCTATACTGTATAAACACTTACAGGTAATTTCAGGCCCAAGTGTTTGTTTCCTTTAGGAAATATAGTCAGGTCATGATAGAAAAAATTGTTTTAATGTCATCAATAGTTAATGGATTTTAGTGTATACAAATTTGTGTATTCTGTCAGCCAAGAATATTGTGTTTACAGTTCCATTAATTATTATAACAAATAATTACTATCATTTTAGTTTTCTCTATGGTACCTCAAAGATGCATTGATTAAAACACCTGATGGTGTATTGCTTAAAGCACTCTTCTGTGAATCAGAAGGTTAGTGCTTCAAACCCACCAGCAGCTCTGCAGGAGAAGAGACCTTTCAGTCTACTTCTGTAAAGATTGCAACCCAGGAAATCCCATGGGGTTGTGTCCTATAGAGTTGTCATGAGTTGGTATTGCCTAACAGCACACAACAATAACATCATACCTATTGCTAAATTCTGGAGTTTCTGGGATTGAAAAGTTCAGGTCATGAAGTTAGAGTCCAGTTTAGTTGAAAAATGCTGTGAGGCAAGGATAAGTGAAAGGACATCTGATTTTGTGAAATATCAACTGTGGTGAGTTCACTGACTATTGCAGAAATGATAGCTCTAAAGATGTGAAGTTTAAGTTTATAATACAGAGAAAGGAGGGTAATTTTGGATTTGATTAAGCAAAGAAGAAAGCATTTACATTCATATCACTCTTGGTCCCAAATCATAGATTCACAAAAACTAAAGATTTGGATGTTGATCAATCCTCAATTATTTCAAAGTTATAGTTTGAGGAAAGTTTGGTTTATGTTAACTATGCCAAGTCTTTAATATTATCCTTTAGAATGCATTTTATAATTTTTTATAGGATATAATTTTATCATTCTGTTTTTGTTGTTAATAAAATTTGTTTTCCATGATAACACACCTTGTGATTATGAATATTTTAGGTGGCAGAAATAGTTTTATATTAAAATTGACTATGGAAAATTGAAAATGTAACTAAATGTGAATCATTGGTCAAAATTATAATAACTCTTTCCCTGATTATAAAACAGTATCTATTCCCTGTCGAAAATTAAAAAGTATAAAGAAACTGAAAGTTACCTTTCATCTTTTAATAACACTTTTAAAATCCCTTCACCATTGTTACTATTTTGGTGATGACATTTCTAGATATTTCTGTATTTAATTTTAAAAATGAAATGCAATTATGCATTATATTAAAGGGTTTGAACAGAGATTTGCTATCAGATTACAAAGAAATATGGTTATTCTTTCTGGCACATTGTATTTATGAGATCAGTTTTTTTCCTGTCATTTTTATATTCTGTTCTTAGGTGCTGTTGAGTTAGTTCCAACTCATAATAACCCTGTATACAACAGAACAAAACACTGCCTGGTCCTGCACCATCCTCACAATCATCGCTATGTTTGATTGAGCCCATCGTTGGAGCCACTGTGTCAGTCTACCTCATTAAGGATCGGCCTCTTTTTCCCTGACCCTCTACTTTGTACCAGACATTATATTTTTCTCCAAGGACTGGTCCCTCCTGATAATAAGTCCAAAATATATGACACAAAGTCTCTCACCATCATCCCTTGTAAGGAGCATTCTGGCTGTACTTCTTCCAAGACAGATTTGTCCTTTCTTCTGACAGTCTGTGATATAGTCAGTATTCTTTGCCAGCATCATAATTCAAATACATTAGTTCTTCATCTTCTTTACTCATCATCCAGCTCTAACATGCACAAGGTGTAATTGAAACTACCATGGCTTGGGTCAGGCATACCATTCTCCTCAAAGTGATGTCTTTGCTTTTTAATACTTTAAAGAGGTCTTTTGCAGCAGATCTGCCCAATACGTCATTTGATTTCTTGACTGCTACTTTGATGGGTGTTGGTATGGATCCTAGTAAAATCCTTGACAACTTTGATCTTTTCACCATTTATCATGATGCAGCTTATTGGTCCAGTTGTTAGGAATTTTGTTTCCTTTATGTTGAGGTGCAATCCATACTGAAGGCAGTAGTTTTTGATTTTCATCACTAGGTGCTTCATGTCCTCTTCACTTTCAGCAACCACGGTTCTGTCATCTGCATATAGCAAGTGGTTAATGAGTTTTCCTCCATTCCTAATGCCACATTCTTCTTCATATAGTCTAGCTTCTCACATTATTTCCTCAGCATACAGATTGAATAAATATGGTGAAAGGACCATACCTTTCTGTCGCATACCTTTTCTGATTCCCTGTTCAAAGGACTGCCTCTTGGTCTATATACAGGTTCCACATGAGCACAATTAAGTGTTCTGGTTCTAGAATTGCCATTGTTCGCAATGTTATCCGTAATTTTATTATGATCCACACAGTTGAATGCCTTTGTGTAGTCAATAAAACACACTTAAACATCTTTCTGCTTTGAGCCAAGATCCATTTGACATTAGCAGTGATATCCCTTGTTCTATGTTCTCTTCTGAATCCTATTTGAATTTCTGGAAGTTCCCTGTTTATGTACTGCTGCAACTATTGTTGAATTCTCTTTTTTAGCAAAATTTTACTTAGATACGATGTTAATAATATTGTTCATTAACTTTTACATTTTGTTGGATCATCTTTCTTTGAAATGGGCATATACAAGAATCTCAGATAGCTAGTAGCTATCTTCTAAATTTCTTGGCATAGATGAGTGAGTACTTCCAGCACTACATCCATTTGTTGAAACATCTCAAGTAGTCTTCCGTCACTTCTTAGGCCTTGTTTTTCACCACTGTTTTTAGTGCAACTTAGACTTCTTCCTTCATTACCATTTGTTCTTGATCATATGCTACCTCCTGAAATGTTTGGTACAGTAACTCTTTGTTTTCCTTCCATCTTCTTTTTATGTTTCCTCTGTCGCTCAACATTTTGTCCATAGCATCCTTCAGTATTGCAATTTGAGGCTTGAAATTTTTCTTCAGTTCTTTCAGCTTGAGAAATATCGAGCATGTTTTTTTTCTTTTGGTTATCTAAATCTGGGTCTTCATACATTTCATTATAATATGTGAGTTTGTCTTCTCCAGCTGTTGTTTGAAATACTCTTTTTTTTTTTTTTTTAATTTTATTTTGATTTGGGTGAAGATTTACAGAGTAAATTCAC